AAGAAGAAGATAAATTTAGGGACAGGCGTTGGAATACTGTATGACTGAAATTCAATCACGTTCTCCCAAATTAAGTTGATCACTTCATCGGGTGCACAAAGCAAGCAGCCAGATTCATGTTCCTGGAGCTAAAAGAGTATGGGCGGGACTCGATGCACTGCTTCTCAAACTCTGTGTTTTGTTTGGGCTTTAAAGAGATTGAAGGGACTTTTCCAGGTAATGTGGGAAACGTGGGAGTTCGCATTTTGTTTCCAGAGTTCATGTGCTGGCTTGAGGCGAGTTGCTGTTTTACTGAGAATCCTCTCGTTTCCGAATATTTTTTTTTACTTACTAAACTAACTTATGCTTTTATGATTTCATTGGGTTTTCCCATCCTTTCTGTAGGCAGACAGGGAGACTGCTGTTTTCTCCATGTGCACCCAGGATGCTGAAGCACAGTGTAATGAGCAGGGCTGGGGGGTAGGGGAGTGAATGGCCAGAGAGTCACTGCAAGGGCAGCGTGGAGTCCTCACCTGTGAAAAAAATACTGTTTGTTTATTTTCCCCCGTGATGAGCTCTTTTCTTTCTAAAATTTAATATAATTTTAGGCACCATCGTTTACAGTACTGTTAATGGTCAGATTTCATGCATAAAACATTCCAGCATCACATATTCCAGCAGTGTTCAATTCTCTCTCTCTTTCTTTCTTTCTTTCTTTCTTTCTTTCTTTCTTTCTTTCTTTCTTTCCTTCCTTCCTTCCTTCCCTCTCTCCTTCCTTCCTTCCTTCCTTCCTTCTTTCCTTCCTTCCTTCCTTCCTTCCTTCCTTCCTTCCTTCCTTCCTTCCTTCCCTCTCTCTCTTTCCTTCCTTCCTTCCTTCCTTCCTTCCTTCCTTCCTTCCTTCCTTCCTTCCCTCTCTCTCTCTTTCCTTCCTTCCTTCCTTCCTTCTTTCTTTCTTTCTTTCTTTCTTTCTTTCTTTCTTTCTTTCTTTCTTTCTTTCTCTTTTGCTTTTTGAATCACACCTGGCGATGCACAGGGGTTACTCCTGGCTTATGCACTAAGGAATTACTCCTGGCGGTGCTCAGGGGACCGACCATATGGGATGCTGGGAATCGAACCTGGGTTGGCCGTGTGCAAAGCAAACACCCTACCCACTCTGCTATCACTCCAGCCCCCATACATGATGAATAACTACTTTTGGTGTTGTTTTTGTTATTTGGGGGCCACACCTCGTGATGCCCAGGGCTGTCCTGGCTCACTGCTGAGGCATCATTTCTTCTGGTGCCCAAAGAGCCATACGTGGTACTGAGGATCAAACTAGAATTGTCTATATGCAAGGCATATGCCTGATGTCTACTTAATTTTCAGATTTTTTTCACCTTGGGGACAAACCCAGTGGTTTGGGGGGCTAATCCTAGCTTTTTGATTCTGGGGGTCTCCCTGCAGGTGCTCAGGAGACCATGCAATGCCACGGGCCAAATCCAGGTCTCCTGCATCCAAAGTATTCACTCTGGTTTATTGAGCAATCTTCCCTACCCACAGCTTTTAAAACATTTGATTTTTATTTCCAAACCCCTTTGGTTGTAGGTAACAGAGTTCTCACTCACTCCATCATGGTGCTGCCCTCCCTGCTGTAGTGCTTGCACGTACATTCATTTTCATACTCTCACTGGTGGTAGTGCCTACTGGGGGCTGCACATTTGGCTTAGGGGTACCAGAGATCACACATGCTTTCTTTACTGAGCCTCACGGGATCCCAGGCAGCAGGGTGGGTGGGACCTTTCAGGGAATTTAGGTAGGGGGGCAGGACTCATGGCCTCACACTGACAAGGCAAGTGCTTTGACATTAAGTCATCCGCAGGCCCTAACTTTGATGCTTACAATAGTTCATGTCTTGATTACCAAATCTTTTGTGCCCTAAGTGACTGCCTCAATGACCTCTCTCTCTTGGCAGGCTGGCATTATAATGGTCAATCATTTCATAGATTCAGAGATGAACACTTATTTTTTTTTTTGGATCACACCCGGTGATGCACAGGGATTACACCTGGCTCTGCACTCAGGAATTACTCCTGCCCATGCTTGGGGGAACCATATGGGATGCTGGGAATTGAACCTGGGTCAGCCACATGCAAAGCAAACACCCTACCCGCTGTACTATTGCTCCAGTTCCAAACACTTCTTGAATAGAGTCCAAAGGGCTTACTCGGTTACCAGGCTGCTGGGACCACTTCATTGCCCTGTACCGGAGTCCTCAGCTGCTTTTGGGTATTATCCAGCCAGGACCTTCTACTAAAACCAGTATCTCAGGCCATGGTAGGGTGGGGGAAAGGCAGATATGCTTTGCAAAAATGTTATCTAATGTGAACCTCTGAATTAGAACCCCAGGATTGAAACCAGCTGAAACCAGACTTTAATGACAAGGGGACTCATATTTATATGAGCTCATATTTATATGAGCATTGGTGTGAAGACTTTTAAACCTCACAATTTGAGGAAAGTTATAAGTTGTTGTCAAAGTTATGTAATGTATATACCTATGTAACACCCTGACGACTAAATTGTTCTGGATAACTGGTAATGTTTTTATAAACTATTGAGGTCCAGTTGCACAGCAAATTCATGAAGAGTTGAGTTTGAGTGGCAGGTCTGCCTGACCCCAGTCAGAGCCATTGACCACTGGCTCCCTCCAAGAATGGTAGCTTAAGCTGATTAGCCTAGAGCAGGTCCAACAACCCTCTCCCCGCGCCCAAGAATGAGGACAGTCTTGCTCGGAGTTGAGCTGACCCAGCAGAGAGAAGAACTGCAGCCTAACTGAGCAGATTCCTCCGCTGGGAGTGGGGAGTTCCCCTTCCACTGGGGAATGCCCTGCAGCCTCGGTTATCTTGCACCTCTACCCCTCCGATTCCTGACATGCAGCTGCCTTTATTTCCTTCCTTCTAGTTCTTTCCTTTGCAACACCCCTCCCCCTCCTGATTTCTGTTCCTAGCCCTCACAGGGAAATGAGCGACTTCCTTTCTTGAGTGTCGAAATGCTGGGGTCCCCTGGAAACCTCTGCCCGGTAGGGCTCTGTCAGTTCTCATGCTCCTGAGTTCCTTTCCCCTTTCACTTTCTGCCATTGCCCACAACCAGAGAAAGTGAGTGAGTCAAGCCCGCCTCATCGATTCCTACCAGCCCTCCTTACCCCTTTCATACCAATGAGACTCACAGTCTCGTGGCATCTCCACTGCCAAGCCACCCTGCCCTGGCCAACTTTGCTAGCATTTCCTTCTGTTTCTCTGGGAGGCCTCACCTTCCTGTCTGAGGAATACCCCAATCACTCCTTTAAGCCGAACTGAATAGGGCTTAGTACTTAGCTCACTTGCAGAGAACCCCGGTTTGATCACTGGCATTGGATATGCCCCCCACCAGGCACCACCAAGATTAAGGCCTGAGCACTGTTGGGTGTGGTACTGGCCCTCACAATCCACTTCTCTCAAATAGAAAACCAAACGAAACAAGTAAACAGACTGACCCTGTGTCAGGAGAGATAGCTCAGTGAGGGAGCACATGCTGTGTGTGTGTGTGAACCCTGGGCCCAATCCTCAGCATTGTATATATTCCCCTGAAGCACCTCCAAGATGACCCCTGAGTACCACTGGATATGGCTCCCCAAACCAAACCAAAATCAAATATAACCACCCCAGCCCGATCCTAAGGCGTGTGTTGGTACCACTCCACCCCCACCCTCCACTCCCACCTTCTGGCCTCTCTGTCCTCTGCCCTGCGTCCACAGTGGCTGCTCGCCACAGAAATCTGAAACTTAGCCATATCATGTCTGTCCTGCCCTCCTCCACACCAAGGCATGGGGAGGGCTTAGGGTTTCCAAGAAAGCAATAAAACAAACACAGGACATTAACATCCTCATCTTCCAGTGCCATCAGAACCACAGAAACCACTAAAGTCATAGAAGCCACTGAAGACAAATTGCCAGCATCTGTGTTTTACCAACAAGGAAAGGGAAATGCTTCATGCAGAGGTGGTTTGTCCATGACTGAGGGATAAGGTATAAGGTAGAGTTGGAAGGCAGGCATTCTGTGTCTCACCCTGCAAGCAAGAAAAATCCTTGGTAGCATATACCCAGGAGACAAGGAAGAAATTGCTTCCCTCAAGCTGCTCGGATCATACTGGGGACAAGTACACGGACCCACATCCCTGCGTGTGGAGTGGAATAGAATTCATTGCAGAAATACGGGCTGTAAAGCAATGCATTTCCCCTAAACTGCGGTTGAGCACTATTTAGTAATTTAAGTCCATTCTTTCAGACTTCCTGCTGGCAACTTCTGTGGGACCTGATTGGGAGTCATATCCCCCACTTTCCTGATGGCTAGGACCGCTTTATAAAAGAGCTTTTTGGACTTTTAAAACGCCGGCTAAAATGTTGGGGCTTTGCTAGACTGTATATTGGGATCTTCTATCCAGAGATAAGACACTCCTGACCATTTCTAGGGCAGTTGCTCCTGGTGGATGTAACCCACTTTGGGCAGGAAAGATGAGCTTGGAAGGGGAGACGCAGGGCCAAGGAGCTAGACTTCAGTGTAGGCTGGGATAGCGGGTGGGGCTGGGACCATGGCAGGGCTTGGAAAGGCAGCGAGGTCATGGAGGAGAAAGCTTCTCCAGGTTCTCAGGTTAAGCTCTCTCAGGCCTGAGAGTGAGCGAGGGGGTTGCTTGATCACTTGACCCCAGAGCCACTTGACCCCCAAAACATGTGACCCCTCCTGCATCCTGCAGCTGCGTTGAGAAGGAGCTCCATATGGGAAAACCCTTTTTTATGGGGGGAGGAGAAATGTCCTATCCTGATCATGTCAGGAAACATTTTGCAAATTTAGAAAAAAAATAAATAACCTAGCGCCAAAGGGAAGTGCCTTGCCATGGTTATTCGGTGGGAACACTGTCGCCCCAAGTGGTTCCTCTTGCGCAGCACATTTCTGCTGGCTCCAGGACTTTGGCCAACTATAAAGCTTAGCAATGGAAAAGGAAGAGATTGGAAAGGAGGAAGGGCACTTGGCTAGACCTGGGAAGGAGCAGCTTTCCATCCAGCTATGTTCTCTGAAGTGGAAACCTTTGAGATTAATGGTAAAGTACCTCTCCTCTGTTCTGCCCGGGTGGGTGATGCAGTCTACAGGTGGATAGAATCTAGATTTGCACTAGAGATGCTCACTAACAGTTTTGGGGGGATGCTCATAATAGATGCTGTATCTTTCATGTACGATTGGCGTGGGTGCTTTTCCCCTCTCTTGGCTTCACAGCTCCTTGGACTATTTAAATGGCGTTTAAATTGTATTCAAACTTTACTTCAATTAATGTTAATGCCCATTAGATGTCCCCTGTTTAAATGAAAAATCTGATTCTGATACACAGGTGTGTGATGGTCATGCCAAACATGAGGTATGCAGTTTGTTCCAATCTGGAGTTGAACACTTTTTAGTGGTTTAAGTCCATTCCTTCAGACTTCCTGCAGGCAACTTCTGTGGGACCTGATTGGGGGTCATGCCCCCCACTTTCTTGATGGCCAGGAGAGAATCATCTTTCGTAATGAGCTTGTCTTAGATTCCGTTCAGACTTTTAAAGTGCAGGCAACTCTTATCTTTTATTTTCTCCTTTACCCAGGGGATGTAATTAAAAAAACACTTCTATAATTTGTAGCCCCTTAAATTATGAAGAAGTGCTTTGCACACAGAATTTCTGATTTTGGGCGCCAGAATATCCTTTTGAAATTGGCCTCCAAGCCCATCTGTCATTCTTGCTCCCTTTCTTCTCTGGAAGTTCAGGAAGAGTTACAACTCTTTCTCCTGCCCCAGTGTCCCTCTCATCCATCATCTGTGGAGGACACTGGCTGGACCAGAGGGAATGGGGATGGCAAAATGAAATACTCAGTGCTCTATTTCTAGTGACCTGGTGCAGCAACAGAGAAAGCCTGTGATCGAATGACTTTCCCAATTTTGGGGTGGGGGGCGTCTCCCAGTTGATTCTCAGGAGGTCCTGGATCCTCACTGGCCATTCTTGACCAACCAGGCTAGTAGGGCCGAAGAACGAGGTGCTACTCAGGCCCTGCATTGCCTGCTATTACCCAGGCCATCCTGGTGGTGCTGGTTTCATACCAGGCATGCTCCCGTACTATCCTCTGGCTCCAACATTACTAATATTGACTACCTAGTACTTTGGGGTAACGTAGAATTCTGAATATTTGGTATGTGTGTGTGTGTGTGTGTGTATGTGTGTGTGTGTGTTCCTGGAAATTGAACCCAGGGTCTCACACATGTAAGACAAGCACTCTGTAATTGAACTACATCCCTAGCCTTTGTCTATGTAACTTTTTAAAGAATTGAAAACATTCAAGTCATGATAAAGAAAATTGGCACTTAATCCATGATGGGCACACTGCCCTCAGGATCTAGGAAGCAGACAAAAATAATCGCTGTCTCAGGTCTCAGGGAGGCCAGAATTTCACTGGAGTGTCCAGAGGATGGTAAAATGGACCCCCACATATGCTGGTGATTTCTGTTCAATCTGTTGCTAGTTGTGACTGATACCTGCAAGGAATGTTTGGGATGGAATTTTTTTTTTAATTTATTTATTGAATCACTGTGGGAAAGGTTACAAAGCTTTCAGGTTTATGTCTCAGTCATGCAAATATCAAACACATTTCCCTTTACCAATACTTATTTTTTACCATGAAGAACCCCAATAAAACCCCACCCCCCACCCCTCCCCGTCCCTGTGAGGCAGATGAATTCTAGTTAACACTCTATCTGCTTTGATTAGATTCATTGTTTCAATAAAAGATTCACCACTATTATTTAGAGTTTACCCCCCCCCCAAATCAGACATGTTGAAAAAGCATTGTGAAGTGATTTGCTTTCTACGGCTGGGTTCAAGAATTAAATGTTGGTTTTGGATTTCTGCTCTTTTACCTATTGACCCTGGAAGTATTTCTACTGAAAGTCAGATAGTTAAGAAATTGGTTTCTGTGTTCTGGAGTCCTGGCCGTGCTGGAGAGCCGCTCGCGGGGGGCAACTGGTGGCCTCGGTAGGGCGTGAAGGGCGGAGCGAAATGCCCCCCTTCCCATGAGGTTTTAGTCGCCCCCACACTCCCGGCTCATATTTGCTGTCCACAAGGCTCCCATGTGGCCGCCATCTTTCTTTCCAGAGAGGAGAGGGCGAATGGGGCAACACCCTTTCCCCTCCGGCAGACTTGATGGCCTGGATCAATGCATAGTCCGTTCACTTTTCTGCTCCAAGCTGCTGGGTTCTGCATTAAGTCCTTGTGCTTCTGGGGCCGTGGCCGTGCTGGAGAGCCGCTCGCGGGGGGCAACTGGTGACCTCGGTAGGGCGTGAAGGATGGACCAGAACGCCCCCCTTCCCATGAGGTTTTAGTCGCCCCCACACCCCCGGCTCATACCTGCTGTCCACAAGGCTCCCATGTGGCCGCCATCTTTCTTCCCAGAGGGAGGAGGGTGGAAGGGAGCAACACCCTTTCCCCTCTGGGCAGAAATGATTGCCTGGATTAACGCATAGTCCTTTCACTTTTCTGCTCCAAGCTGCTGGGTTCTGCATTAGGTCATTGTGCTTCTGGGGCTGTGGCCGTGCTGGAGAGCCACTCGTGGGGGCAACTGGTGGCCTCGGTAGGGCATGAAGGGCGGACCGAAACGCCCCCCTTCCCATGAGGTTTTAGTCGCCCCCACACTCCCGGCTCATACCTGCTGTCCACACGGCTCCCATGTGGCCGCCATCTTTCTTTCCAGAGAGGAGAGGGCGAATGGGGCAACACCCTTTCCCCTCCGGCAGACTTGATGGCCTGGATCAATGCATAGTCCGTTCACTTTTCTGCTCCAAGCTGCTGGGTTCTGCATTAAGCCCTTGTGCTTCTGGGGCTGTGGCCGTGCTGGAGAGCCGCTCGTGGGGGGCAACTGGTGACCTCGGTAGGGCGTGAAGGACGGACCGGAACGCCCCCCTTCCCATGAGTTGGGATGGAATTAAGCTTGTATGAGACCTGGGTCTGAATTGAGACTTCTTCTTAAATTCAAGTTTAGGATATGGGGGTCCTTGGGAGAAAGAACCAGAGCTGGGCAGGGTTTGGGCATTGCACATTTGTGATATGTTTACAGGAAGTATTCAGAGAAATGCAAAAAGGCTTCATTTTGTTGGCAAACATTCACTGGGGAAAGCTCAGTGGAAATTGACACTAGGACCTTGAAGATGGACTTTATTCTGTTGGACAACAGGGAATTTTGAAAGGATTTTAATCAGGCCTGAGAGACATTGGTTTGCGTTGGAGATGCTCAGATCACAGATGGCGGTCAGGCTAGAAGGACCGAGCACAGAGATGAGCTTGGCAGCAAGACATGAGAAGCAGAGGTGTAAGGAGGGAATAGAGAGGTCAGACTAGAGAAGTCTTAGACATTGGAACACCTGGAGTATTGCTGTGAGATGAGGCAAGGGTGGGGTAGATATAAGAGTATGAGTCCAGAGTGAATCCCAGATCTGACGGACCCCACTAAAACCTAAATCACGTCAGTGTGATTTAGAACACTTCTGTAAGTGCTTCTAGAGCTCTGGTCTTTTTACCCAGAAGCATTGCACATACAGAACTTTCTAAATGTTCTAGACTAAAGGACTTCATTTTGGATAGTGATAGTGGTCACTGCGAAGCTCTGTAGCCCAGTGACAACCCCCTCAGGGCTTACCTCTCTTTCTCTCTCTCCAACTGAAAATTGCTTTACTTTTCTGAAGAGGCGTGGCACCTTGCTACTCTTTTCTAGATCTTTCCTCATTAGTTATTCATCCCTTAATGTACTTCTTTTCACTTTTTTTTTGGTTGTTGTTTTGTTTGGGGGTCATGCCAGGCTGTGCTTGGGGCTTATTCCTAGCTCTGTGCTCAGGGATCACTCCTGATGGGGCTTCCAGGACATTATGTGGTGACAGGAACGAAACTTAGATTGACCTGCGTGACAAGCATCTTACTGCTGAACTATCTCTGCAGTCTTCTTTTTGAAAATAAGGAATATATTTCTCTCTTGAGCCTTCTTGGCTTTCTCTTGGCAGGCCTGATTTCTCTCAGAGCTCCTTTAATCCCTGGCAAGCTTTTCGCAGGTCTTGGGACAATTGTCTCACTGGACATTTCAGCCCAAGTTCCCAGCTACCTCTGTCTGCCCTTCTGTTGTTCCTTTCTACCGGTTCTCATGAAGAGCGTTTCTCTCAACAGAGAAGACTCTAAGTAATATAAATAGAGAAGTTAGGCATTTTGTTGATTTTTATTTTCACCTTCGCTTCCTTTTGCTGTTGTCATAGTGACCAGGGATCATACATGTGACTGTGAGTCGCACTTTTGCTTGTGACGCTCCCTGGGCAATCACAAGTTTTCTAGTGGCGGTGTTGGGGCACCTGAAGTTGGACTGTTCACAGGAGTTCACTATGATCCTTGTGCACCTTTAACTGTGGTGCTTTCCAGGGTGCATGCCTTCTTGGCGGTGCTTGCACAGGCTTGGCTGATGTGCTCGGGAGATCACATGCTCTGTTGAGGCGCCACGTACCCAAACTGCAGAGCCATCTAAACCGTGTTCAGCGGGAGTCAAACTCTTGTTCTTCGGGAATCAAATTCTTGGTCTCACCTTTGCAAGGTTTGGCTTTTGCCACTGAGTCTTTCTCAAGCCCCCCTTGTGGTTCATATTAATACCAAGTATGACCTTCAACCAACATACGTGTGGGCGTCATCTAAAGAGTGTGGCTGCAGTGAGCTTATGGGCAAGCACTAAAAGTAAAAAGTGTGTAAACCTCAGTGAGCACTAATGAGGAGTGTATGAGCATCACAATCCATGCATGCGAACATCCTGGCCATGGTAGAAAGCAGTTATCAACAAAGACAGCAAGGAAAAGAAAGGAGGGCATGGATTAAAAATAAATAAATAAATGGCAAGAAACATTGGGTCCCAGAGAGGGGTCTAGTTATTTCTGTTCCCTTTTGCAAATAAAGCATATAACATTTTCCTGGTGGACCTCAGCCTGGGTCACTATTCTGCCTAGAGCAACTACTTTCATTTCATCTTCTGATTTTGTCCTTTGTGGAGTCACTGTTTC